TCTGGGAAGGCAAGAGTATTGTTGTAGGTTCAAGTCTAGCCTTCTGTGATTCATAATTAAGAGATTTTTATTTTAGTTTCAAAATTCTGGAAAGAAATTCCATCTTCTGTATTTTTCCAATAGGACTTCACTATTTAACCGTGACTTCTACTTGTTATAATAGTCTCAACCCCTTTGTAGTTTGGTCGTCGTAAGAGTCATTTCCTTTAGCTACAAATTCAGTTTCTCCCAGAATCTGAATGAAAGCATTCTTTCTATTTCATTATGGTTTATTTATTTAAAACAAGGAAACACTCTTAAAACTCTGCGCAGTGAAAGTCAGAATCCAACAGCAGTTTGGTGTTAGTACTGAGAACTGAACCTGAGAAGGACACAGATCCTTCTTTTTTTTTTTTATTTTTTTTCAAAGTTTTATTGATAAACAGATAGCAATGAGACAGTTTCAAATGAAATCGGAAGTACAGTTTCAACAAATAATACACTGCATATATTCTTCTTAGTGGTTAATTGCTGTACAAGATGCGGATTTGTGATCTTATTTACAAACACCATTAGAACAAATCATTCTATTCATTAAGAGAATGCAACTGTATATCTATCCCAACCACTTTGAATACACAGATACAAAATGGACATTCATAGGCATACCCCATTTTTTCTAAGTTCTGTTATTGAATATTACAGGTGTGTAAACTCAGCAAAATATTCTAAAAGAGTCCAGTAGCCCATAATAGCATTGGGTCTTCTGTTTAACTGGCAATGTCAGAAATTATTGACCTGAGTCCCCCACAGCTCAACATAACAACATGGCTTTACTTCCTATATTTCGTCTTCATACTTTTCTACTGGATGGTTAAGACCAAGGTAAAGCAGGACTTGTGCAGTAAGAGTTGTAGCTTTTTGGTCTGAGAAGGTCAGTGAAATGCCCTCAGGATTTATCCTGAGATCCTGTACCTCAGATTGTAGAACCTTTGTCAGTGCAGCCATGTGGATGAGTCATGGCCATTGCTTGGCCAGTGAGGACACAGATCCTTCTAAGCTCCGGCTACACTCTATTCACCAGCAGTGATTTTACTGAAACAAGGGCATTTGGGTTTTAAAAGCTCACCATGCACTATAATCAACTTTGAGGTCTGAAAACTATTTTTCAAGACAGGGTGACTCATTTCTCCTCCAAGTGCTTTTTTATGAAGCTCGAGGAACACAAGGAGGTTATCTCATCTTGCTTATGACATGTGCATATCCAGGATGTGGAAAACTACCTGCCTCATACAGCAGCTATATCAGCCTTAACTATGTGTTGAGTGAAATAACTATGCCTTAGCTTTGAGCTACTAAACTGTAGCTCTTTCCTGCTGCTCCCTATTGAAGGTTGTACTCAAATTGTGTTTAAGTCTATCACACTTTGAAGTCTCACCTTGTTTGTGTGGATTTTGCTAATTTTAACCTTTGGATCTTTGGTATCAACTAATTGGGATATTAGTTCAGTTTCACAAGCATGTGTATTGGATTGGTTTGATTCACCAAGCCAACCACAAAGAAATATATGGCAAATTACATGGTGACTTAGCTCCTAGTCGTAGCTTGAGAAAGACTGGCTAACTTGATTTAATCTGTATGTTAGAGTCTAGGAACTAATTTAGAAATAAAACTTTTTTAAAGCCTTAAAAACAAGATTAAAAAGGAAAGATTCACAGGATGAATACATGGACTTAGAAGACATTGGTTTTATCAAAAGACTGGTTTTATTGAAAGCTCGTTGTTTGTAGGTAGTTGATAATTGTTTCTCAAAATTCTATGGAAGGGCATTAAAGTAACTTGAAAGTTATAATAAAATTCAGACTGATTGTTGAAAAGTAATAATAGTTTAACAAGGCCTGAGAAACTCTTCCATTGTAATCATTTCTACATCATTTTATTGTTTCATTTCTACATCATTTTATTGTTTCAGTTTCACCTACAGATGCATTTAACTCTTCTAGACCTCTGTTGAGTTTGCACTTCTCTGTTAAGTTAGTCTGAATACATGAGAGAATCTTACATCACAACTGTTAGTAAGAGTTCTGATACCAGTTGTTTAAATAGGAAACTGTTTATTGAGATGTTATAAATGTATAGTGTTATATTAAGTAATTAGCTGTTTGTTAGTTGTGTGTGTCAATCTGTTTTTTCTAGGTATTAAACTTGGATTAATTATTAAAGATGCTTTTGTTAAAAATAATGAGTAAGATTAGTTTTGCCTTCTAGGACAATTCTGTCTTTGGAAACAAAGTCAAATTATTTAACTGTTGTGGCTGTCTTTATCCAGGGTAATGTGATTTGCGAAGAAGCCTGACATTTCCTTCCTGCGTGTGGCTCTCTTGCCTTCTGTTCCTCTTGCCGGATCACACCTTGTTGTAACACATTTTGTCTTTCTCCTCACCTCTCTGCTCGCTCCTTCTTCAAGCTATGAGTGGTCATAGTCATGCGTTAAAAATGACTTGTTGGCCGGGGAGATGGCTCAGTGGACTAAGCGCTTGCCTGGCAAGCACAGGGGCCTGAGTTCAATCCCCGGTACCAAAAAAAAAAATAAAAAAAAAATGACTTGTTGATACAAAAATCAGAATTTTTATCCATCATGCCTTATCTCATTTATCTTTGTCAAATTCTGTCTGTCTGTCTGTCTGTCTGTCTGTCTGTCTGTCTGTCTGTCTCCCTTATGTGATTTAATGGTCTTCAGTTATTAAACTGAGTTAGTGAATTATGAAGTTATTATGACTTCTAGAGTATGGTTTTATGTAATCTTATGTTTTGCCAAGTTTGAGGAATTTTAGTGCTGTTTCTGGGTAGAATTTTAAAGAGCAATTGATTGATTTGCAAGGTGAGTCTTAAATAACAGTGAAGCTCTACAACATTTTATTTCGCCAGAACAGACCTGGAAGTTAAAGGTTAGTAATGCCTGAATGTGATATTACTCCTCCTCATTAAAAATCCAACAATGTATTTTGTAAATTAATTGATCAAAAATCTGATATGAATGTTTTTAAAATACTGAGGCAGTTAATGTCATAAATGTAGCATTTTTGTCATCAGCTATTAATGAACATTCTCATGTGAGATTGTCTATAATTTCCATCTTTTGTTTTATTTCCTTAATTTCATATATTGTTTCCTCATTCCTTATCCTTTTATGACACTTTTTACTACTCAGTATTACCTCTCTTCAGGTTTTTGTTTTCAAAATAATTTTGAGTAATTTTGAATATTTGGGAAATTATCAACAAAATGTAGGGGAAAGAAACAAATAAACAAACCAGAAAATGAGTTACAGATTTTGGGGGGCTGTAAATAGAGAAAAAAACCTTCTAAGATTTTAGAATGAAGATTCAATTAATGAGTTTAAAATTGAGAAGTCACACCGTTTTTGTTTCAGAGGTTAGAGTCGCAGCTAGGAGAACATTGTGGTGTTCACACTTTGGCATTTGGACTAGAACACGGACAACAGAGATGAAGACACATAGATTTGTACCATAGTGCTTGCTAATGAATGGATTATGGAAGCAAGGAAGGGATTTGAAAAAGCAATGGTTACAAAGTATTACCATTTTCTGAGGATAGTCATAAGTGGAATAGAAGTTGTTTTACTTAGTTTGGGGAAAATAAGAAGTCAAGAGTGTTCTGTTTTGCGCATTTTCAGTTTGAGGTACTCAAGAGAATATACTTGTAGGCAATTCAGTTAATGAATGGCGGTGAAAGGTGAAGGAGGAGTCAGTCATTAGCATGTTTTAAACATGAGAATGTTTAAAATTCTGAGTGTTGCTGAGATCCTAAGGATCTGAGCAGAGGTAGAGGAACGTGCTGCGACTTCCATCAGTGGATGAGGGTAGATGACAGAGAGCCTGTGGAGGATCCAGGGTAGACATTTCATTTACACTGAAGGGTGTTTCGATGGAATTTGTACAAATTAGGAGATACTGTTCTTTGTGAGTTTTTAAAAATGTTATATTTAGTAAATCTCTGGTAAAATTTCAGGGGCCATTCTGAGTCACTTAAGCCAGTCTATTTGATGCTAGAGAAGTGAGTGCCAGGGAATCAGTCCAGTTGGGTTGGTGGTGCCCATCCTTTCCCTTCCTCCCTCTGCCTCTTCAGGGCAGGGATCGTTAGCTGTCACTGCATGCTTGATCAGGTTGGAATTTTCCAGAACATTCTTATGAACATAGGTGTTCTTTGGCCTGCCCCTCAGGATCTTCTTTCTCTTGAAATAAATAAATCCAATATTAAAATAATCACATTGTGACAATTTGTCATCAACATAATTTGTGATTCTCATGAGGAATATTACTAAATGTTTAATGTCACTGATGTTAGTGACAGCATGGAAACCTACAGATGCCAGGTTTATCAGTTCTGTAAGGAGACTCAAAATAGTGAAATCAAGAATAGCTGAATGCTCTTGCTACCCTCAATTTGACCAGAACACTGCCGAACCCCCTACTTTTTGACATGACTGTTCTTTGCGTCTCGATTTAAATTATACAATTTCAAGAGAGGAATTATGAGGTCTATACTGTATCTCACACATTGCTCAGTTCTATACCATTGTGTTATTTTGACCTGTTACAAGTCTGGAGAACATATTTTGAATCCTTTTAGTAGAGGTGAAGGTACTGAAGTTTTGCTTATTGGGATTTTTAGAAAAAAGAAGACAGAAAAGATACTCATGAAAAGTCAAATACAACCTAGGATTCTACAGTTCTATTGGGGGTAAGGAATACTTAAAATGGAAAAGAAGTCATGTATTTGAGACATAATGATATGTTTTAGCCATCCATTAAAAATGTGTTTCAGGGCCCAGGGAGATAGCTCAGTAGAATAAGTGCTTGCCTGGCAAACGCAGGGTCCTGAGTTCAATCCCCGGTACTGGAAAAAAAAAAAATGTTTTTCATCTCTTAATGCTAATTAAAATGTTACCAATGCTGTACTGATGCCAAGTTTTCTTTTTATCTCTCTCTTGGTTTCAGAGGAAGAACTTCTCTCTTTTTCTCAGCATTAGCTTGTTAACTTTCTGGGGGACCTCGCTTTTGGGTGCCCGGTTATACTGGATGGGAAACAAACCACCAAGCTTTTCCAACTCTGACAACCCAGCTGCAGATTCAGATAGCCTCCTGGCTCGCACGCTCACCTTCTTCTACTTGCCAACCAAGAACCTCTGGTTGCTGCTCTGCCCGGACACCCTCAGTTTTGACTGGTCCATGGATGCTGTGCCTCTGCTGAAAACAATCTGTGATTGGAGAAACCTACACACTGTGGCCTTCTATACTGGACTCCTCCTCCTTGCCTACTACGGGTTGAAGAGCCCAAGCGTAGATAGAGAATGCAATGGGAAAGCTGTCACGAATGGCAAGCAGAATGCAAATGGACATAGCTGCCATTCAGAGGCGGAGTACCGGAACTCAGAAATTAAGCCCAGCTTTGCCTCCAAAGCAGAAAATGGCATTAAAAAGAATGTATCACAGACAACACAGCTTCCTTCTACAGAGAACATTGTTGTTCTGTCTTTATCTTTGTTGATAATCCCCTTTATTCCTGCTACGAACTTGTTTTTCTATGTTGGCTTTGTAATTGCAGAGCGAGTATTATATATTCCTAGTATGGGCTTCTGCCTCCTGATTACAGTGGGTGCCAGAGCCCTTTACGTCAAAGTCCAAAAGCGGTTTCTCAAGAGCTTGATTTTTTATGCTACAGCTATGTTAATTGTTTTCTATGGACTCAAGACTGCGATCAGGAATGGAGATTGGCAGAACGAGGAAATGCTGTACAGATCAGGGATAAAAGTAAACCCAGCTAAAGGTAATATTTTATTTTATGCCTTTGCCTGGAGCGTTTCTGCTTTCTCCCTTTTGGCCTCTTTGCTTCTTGCCTTAAATCACAGTATTGCAGAAGATATCCTTTTATGCAATATCGATAACTCTCATTCCTAGTATTTTAAGAGATGTACACGCCAGTTCTGAATCGTATCTAGTATTATATACTTGCAGTAGGGTAATATTTTCTTGTTTATGAGTATGTGTCCAGAAGAATTAGAACAATTATTGTTTATTTGACTGCCATTAAGAATTTAGAAAAATAGTTGGTTCTGCATTTTAAAATACTGACAATGAACATTATGCAATGAAATTCAGGTTATCTCACTAAGGTATCCTCTAGTTTTTCTGTTTTCTAAGCGTATCCTGAGGAAATATCATTTGAATTGCAGGTGAGGCTACTTATGAATCTTGGCATTGTGCCTCAAGAGGTCAGAGTGAGCATTTGGTGGTGTGAGCTGCTGTTAGCTTTGCAGACATTAAACAGTCTGGGTATTTCCCAGTACTTACTCTTTTTATTAAACAGTGCATAAGTCACTTAGGAAAAGCAACTTTTCACCATGGAACAAGAAGAGTAATTATATCTGTATTTGTTTTAGTTTAAATTATGTTATCGAATATCAAAATTCATGTCAGAAGTGAAATTAGGTTCTTTGAAACAAAAGTGAATAGCCAGAAGTTATTCCCTTTGTGTTAGGGAATGGAAATGATGATGGAATCTAGAGAATGCCGGAATGAAAGTAAGTGTATCTTTGGTGAAGGAATGTATCATAGCGAAGGTCCCAAATACTCTTGATCTTCATCATCACCTTTTAAGTTTGTCCTTGAAATTATGCCTGTTTGTACAGCGGTTGAACAGGGATTCTTCTAGTTTTTTTTTTTTTTTTCAAACACAATTCTATGTCAGTATCCAAATGATGAAAGTAAGAAATTGTTCCAAAAATTACAAAAATGACGTGCTAATGTACGCGAGGACATATATATATATAAAGATCTAGACACTCAGAAGCAACTTTGGCATCCTTGTCTTGCAGCACAAATTAAATCAGGAGTTCATTGAGTATCTTCACCTTTCTTTCTTTTTAATCTTTCATTTATTTGTTTGTTTCAAGGTCTTACTATGTAGCTTGAATTTATAGTGATCCTCCTGTTTTCAGCCTCAGTCCTGGGATTACAGGTGTGCACTACCACTCCTGGTTTCAGGGGCCAGCTTGGTGCTGGGCCAGTACGGCATGCGGTACTGGGGATCGAACCCAGGTGCTTGCATTTGCCAGGCAGATGCTTAGACTGCCAAACTATCTCCTTGGCCTACACATTTCTTTAAGCCAAGAAACTGATTGTAGTTATAATGTGTAATAGATTGAAGCAGTTTTAATGGAAAGTAGAAGCATTAAAATTGAGCTAGTACAATAGCATATAATTCCTCAACTCTGAAAAATCATTGCCATGTGGCTTTTGTAGACAATGAACACTACAGTTTATTGAGTGCCTGCACTTATGTCTTGATATAGTTAAAATTGTTGCAGTTGGCTTTTGCTGACTGCTTTTCATCTAGTTTCTCACTACTAGAAGATGCAAGTATACAGGGCAAGTTAATGTTGCCAAATTATGTGCTGTTGATTGAAAAAATATATGTGGTGAGAAATTAAGGAGCCCCCTGCCCTAGAATGTTATTTGCATCAGTGTTGTTCTGAGGATTTATAAAATTATTTAGTTGACATCAGGCTAGGCTACTATTACAGACGGCTAAGATAAGGCTCTATACTTTGATGTGACCATCTAGGCATGTGTAGCCCAAAGCTGATAAGATGGCGCCATGCATTTTGGGGTCCCTGCCCCATTTCGTGTGTTCCCCTGCCATCTCAATGTGTCACCCTGAGGATGTGTTCCAAGATGGCTCCTTATCACTTCCCACTTCAGTTGACAGGAAGAGGGAAAGAAAGGGCAAGTGGGGGGTGTGCCCATTCTAGGAGCAATTCACAGAAATTGGACGCACCATGTTTGCTCACAGATCGCTGTCCACACCTAACTCTCAGGAAGGCTGGGAATTGTTTTCTCTGTTTTGGAAAACCAAGTATCCACCCAAACTGAATTATTCTGAAAGAAAGGGAGGGTGGATACTCAGGTACCAGCATGTCAGTAGAAGTCTCTGTCTCGGAGTAGGTGAAAGCATTTTATAAATGAATAAGTATTCTTCAGCTGTGGTTCGTATTAATAATCTCAATTGTAGTTCTGAATATAATATCTTCGGTGACATGGATAAAGCAGCTCTATCATTTCTTAGTCTGTAGACTCAAGCAGCTACTAAGAATTTCCTGTCCCCAAAGTTTATTTGTATCTTCCTCCTAATGCTTGAGAAGCCCTGACCAGTGTTACAGTAGGTCTTCTGTGACATGAAAAATTGAATTTCTGAAACCAGCTTCCCATCCTGTGTCGCACCCAGCTGCTTTGCATATATATCCTTCACCAACTCAGTTGACAACAACTCCATTTTCTTAGCAGCTCTGGGGCTCATGCATAGCCCCTCTTTTCCTTTCCCAGCCCACATCCATTCCATCAGTAATTTTCTGCTTTGTCTTCAAAAATACCTTCAGAGCTTAACCAATTGTTACTATCTCTACAGCTACTGCCTTTATGCAAGCCGCTGTCATCTTTCTTTTGGATTGTGTATTATTCCTTTCCTACCAATCTCTCAGCTGCTGTTTTCTTGCCTTTTCACATGCTTTGTAAATTTTTATTTCAAGTCAGGCATGATAAATCTTGTATGCAAACTAAGGATTTAATGTAAGGCTTTATGTTAATATGGTTAGCAGTTGGATTGCATCCTTGGTTGGATTTTCTTCCTATTTATTTGTTTATGTTTTGTCTCTCTTGTTGACTTGGATCATCTTCAAGGGCTGTGAGTTTATATTTGCATCACTTTCAGCTGTGATGCACTGTTGCTTTCTGACAGTAAAGTATGGTAGAAGTGTTCTAGTATCTCACAAGTAAATCTCAGCTTCTTTGAAATGACCCCAAATGCTTCTTACTTTCCCTCTGTTGCCTTTCAGATTGAAATAGAAAAGCTAAAAGCAACTGGAGTGTCAGGATGTTCTTCCCTTTCAGCCTTGGGATGACGCTTTTATGCAGTCTTTCCCTAGAGTCAGGCTTTGGATGGAGAATGTGCTGGACCAGTTCCATGAGATTTATCCTTTCTCTGCCCCTTGCAAGAGTCTTACAATAGGTTCTTGGCTCTAATGATGAGAACTAAAGCATCTGGTCAGAATCAGTGGTGAACTGTTGCTAACAGTTTCTGTCTCCCATAGCTCCTGCTCCTGGAATTCTGACCTTGCTGCAAGTGCAGATTTGCCAGTACCACAGTGGTGGTTGACCCTGAGACTGCAGCTCACTGGAAGACACATCACTGATTCTCAGCTTTTTTTTTATTTTTTATTTTTTGTAGGAATGGGGATGATGAGGTGTCTGAACTCCTTCCTCTCTATGGCCAGAACCAGTATCTTTGTTGTTGCATCTCTGGAGTCTACAGCCAATCAGCAGTCCTGTGTGACCCGTGTGCAACACGTGGCAGTATGCATAGCATTCCTCTGCCTGCAGTCCGCTACTGTGTTCTCAGTTCTTTCAAAGGAAAGCGAGATCCTGTACATCTAGTAGTCTTTCCTGTTCTCACTCTAGCCCTGCTTGTCCCTTTGATGTGCCCTGTATGTGCCTTGCTGCTGCTTCTTGGAGTGTGTTTCCCAGGTAGTCTCACCTCTTCCGTTTGTACGATAAGTAAGATGCTTTATAAAAATTGTCTACCCTGCTAACAGCTACCCCTCTGCCTTCTTCCCACCATTCCTTACTCTTCCCATTATTCATATTGCTTAAAGCACTTACCACTACTTGACATATTGTTGTTCCTTTGTTTATATACTTATTGTCTGAATGCTTTGTCATCGTGCACCAAAACAGAATGAAATTGGGCATTTTAAAGAAGATATCATATATGCAGTAATGACAGTGCTTGGTGAAAAGATGGCAGTCGGTAAAGAATATATTGAATAATAAATGTTATACTTACTGTCCAATTCCTTAAAGAACTTAAAACTCTAGTTAGAAAATGAGTGTATATTGATGAGAATAAAGCAAAAGTGTGAAATGTTTTGATGTTTATGTACCAAGTACTGCGATGCTTCATAGTAAGAATGATTAAACTGGAAGTGGAGGTTACTTTAGGATTCTGGGACTACTTCTGTTTTGATGCAGGTAAAACTCTTTCAATCTAGATGCCTTTTTATTTCTATTTATAACATGATATTAATGATTCTGGCTGCCCAAGACTGGCAGCAGTCTTCCTTAAGCAGAAATTTTCTTAGTCTGTTTTTTGAGCTTAGTAGAAGATCTGAAATCCTTTAAGGCCAGTCTTTTAGGAGGTTTTCTGACAGGACAGATTTAGTTAGTTTTTAATTTTTTCCTCTTTTGAAAGCTTTCACAGATGTTGGAAGGCTTCAGTGTAGCACATGCTCTGACAGTCTAACGTGAAGCCTCCTGAAGCATTATACAGTACAACCCTGCCTGCGGGAACGGGTCCTTAGGCAGCTGCCAGTCATTAACTGATTGGATGCAAATGATGATGTGTAGGGCCTGTCAGAGCGACTGTTCTGCTAATTTAGGGTTTGAATCTGGGTGGTGGAGAAATGATAGCTGATTTAGACTATGTAAACCACAAGTCCTGTCTCATTATGTAGTTGATAATGTCAGGAAAAAACTCGACACAGCTGATTACTGTAGTTTGCTGATTTCACAATGACTCTTTGCATTTTTATGCTTAGCAGACAGGAAATTTTCTATGATGATTGTCTTAATGAGCGTGGCACATTGTGTTCAAGTTTTGTCCCTTCAGAACAACACATTGATAAGCCATATTCATTAATATTAGCTCGGTCAAAGCACTTCTGAGTTTATCCTAAAGCAATTATGACCAGTCTTCTTGCAGAATATCTGGCCTTG